ACATGGGAGGGTCTCACTAAGGGATACCTTTGCGTGATTCTACAAATGATCTTCCTCTTGATTCTACCTCTAAACCTCCTAGTCCACGAAAAGTGTTTAGACACCAGTAACATGATACTGATGAGTTTCTACCCATACCACGAACAATTGGCCTGCATTTGAATGGTTACGTGAACCCCTCAGTCTCAAGTGGCCGAAAAAAAAAAAAATTCAAAGATGGTCGGGTTTTTCCTCCTACAACATTTCATCATAATAATGAAGATGAATTCTCAACTCCTGTCTCCACAAAAAGAGATTTGGTATTCAGTGGTGTCAAAATCATGGAGGCTACTGAGAGATCAATGGAAGGAGAATGTATTGACCAACACATGGCTATAGAGAACAGGTGAGAAAATACTCCGATGTTCCTAATCTTATTCCAGCCATCAGGTATATAGCTATGAATACTAAACTTATACTTGAAATACTGATTAATGCAGGCAATTGTCTCAAGGACTTGACAAACTTGGCAGCTGTAAGCGCTGTAAATGTAAGAAATCACAATGCTTGAAGCTGTAAGTTCTTTCCTTACCATTATTCCCTGGACACAATTTTCAGATGCTAAAAACTTTTGTTTTCGTGTTATTATTTTCTTTAAATGATAATATTAGGTTTTATACCTACTTTTCTAGATGGTATTAAGAGTCGCTGTCATTGGATACTCTACTTTCTTGCGAATTAGATGATGTATGAAGTCTGTTGCAGATGTTGTTCTGTCTCGCTGAAAGTGCAGCATTGTCAGCTTTTGTGTTCCAGAACTCTTTTTTTTTCCAAAAGTTCATATCTTTTTCTTGTCCAAAATGCTCATACCTTTTCTGCGACCCAGCTTGAGTTGATAAATACACTGAATTTCAGGTTATGCAGAACATAGACACCCACTCGTCGTTAACTACATATTCATAATTTTTGCTGTACAGGTATTGTGAATGTTTTGCTGCTGGTCTATACTGTGTTGAACCTTGTTCATGTCAAAATTGTTTCAATAAGCCCATTCATGAAGACCTGGTTATGAAAAGTCGTGAAGTGATTGAAGCTCGCAACCCATTAGCTTTTGCTCCAAAAGTGGTCTCCACTTCTGATACTGCTATAGATTTATGGGTAAGAGATATCATGAGATCAATAGTGAGCTCAAATACATAACAAAGAAGAAAATAGACTTTACTGACTTGTCTTGATTTTCTGAATAATGTATGGCTGCAACTAGATAGTACTCAGATTCTATTTTTGTATCTCATGTTTATATTAACATCTGTAGGTCGAGAACAGCAAGACTCCTGCTTCAGCAAGACACACAAGAGGATGCAACTGCAGGAAATCCGGCTGCTTAAAGAAATACTGTGAATGCAATTTGGTAACTTCGGTTTTACTTATCCATCTTTGTTTACACTTAAATTTTGAATAATTGTCATTCTTCTGAACCATTGGATGTTATAATGACTTTCTCAAGATGGGCGTTCGATGCTCCTCGAGCTGTAGATGCATAGGATGCAAGAATGTTTTTGGTCACACAAATGGTAAGCTTTCAATTATCTATTGTTACATTCTAGTACAGAATCAGATTCATCTAAGATTGTTTACATTATTCTCAGAGAAATGTGCGGGAGAATCTGATGCAGTAACAATCAATGATGAAGCTAAACATTGTGGTGATTCAAGGTATCAATAGTAATCTACGTTGCAATGTCCAAATCTCAAAGTAACAGTGAATAGTAGTGATCTCTAAACACTAACATTCCCGGGTTTTCTTTCGCAGGCAAAACGAAGAAACCTCAAACAGTGAGAGAAGGAACCGCTTGTTGCTCCCAGGTTCTGTAGCATTCCGTTCCTTAACATCACTGTCTGAACTTTGAGACTGACTACTCAGAAGCACCATCTGAAGAACCAGGAGAATCCTGTTATGTTATCACCAACGACTCAATCAATCAAAACCACTGTGTCTGCTACAGTTGCTTGAATTGGTTTTGTTTGATCTGTCTTTATCTCACTTTCATCTGTTATTTTTAAGTAATAGTTTTGGTGGGTATATATTACAAATATATGTATCGGAAGATTTTTGCTTAGGATGTGAATGTGTGTTATCTGTTTTGCTCTGCTAATCTATAATTCTGAAGTGTTTGTTTTTCACTGAAGAAAGTTTTGTAATGGTGTTGTCTGTCTCCTTCCTCTGCTCCTATTTTGTTCTCTCTTTGTAGCAGCTAATTCATTCTTTCAAACAAACCTCCACAAATCAGATTCATTATATATCGGAAATGAATATTATTAACAAAATCATTAATGAGAAGTTATGTACTTGTGTATATGTCCAATTGTAGTTAATATAAATAAATTCTCTGATACATTTTCGAAAATTGAAGAATAGTTGCTTTGGCATGAAATTTGTCGTTCAAACTGTGTTAAATATTTTTTAAAGTGTACGTAACATTATCAGTTATCATTAGGCTTGTATAATCACATAATGTTTATAATGTTCATTCGATTGAAAAAATGGGGAAAATGATCGTATACTAAATCAACTAAAGTCTGGGATTGCAAATAGTCTTATCGAGGAACTCAAATTCAGAGAAAAAGGTGTTCCATAAATTATCAAAAACTCGCAAGTTTAAACTGAGAAAAGTCATCAATACAGCAAAATTAAACTGAGGGAACAAAAGAGTGTGAAACGACACAAAGCATTTTAAAAGCTAAAGTTTATGAGAAAAAAGAGATCTCTCAATTTTAACATTTTCTCAGAAACCATTCTTAAGCTCCGATGATTTCAGTAGGCTCCTCAACGGCCATCTCATCAGCGGGCCTGTCTACCTTAACACCAACATCTTCTGCTGTGTAGTCTCCGTGAACCTACACCAATTAAACACAAGCATTCAATTTCTATACATATCCTTGATAATGAACCATAACAAATGTAAGTGTTAATCTTCTTCACTCACATCCATGAGCTTGCCAAGGTCGAATTTGGGTGCCTTGAGGATCTTGACTTTACGGATGAAAACGTTCTGAAGTGGGTAGATGCCCTGAGTTGCCTTCTCAATCTCCCGGCCAATAGCTTCAGGAATGAACTTAGCAACAAGATCCTTAAGGTCACATGAGGAAGCTTCCTTAATCATGATATCCCTCATCTTCCTGCGGATCTGAGGAATTCAAAACAAAAACTGTGAATTTCAGACTCAAATTAGGGAGAAATCAAGCAAGGAAGATTAAGAATTATTGACAAAAGGAACCCACTAAGCTCAACAGATATGAGAGATCAAAGATTGCAAAAGTAGGATTCAGTAGAGAGAGCTGACAGCATTTAAGATTCCAAGCTTAGAGAAAGAGAGAGCAACAGATTTTGATAATATGCGGATGAAGTTTTCTGCAGTCAGACTTTGAAGGGGAATGTGTGCATACCTGACGGATTTGGCTGGATTGAGCGTAGCAAGTCCTCTTGACCTGGTTAGCACGTCTCTTGGTGAAGGCGATGCAGAATAGCCTGAGAGTGTAGTTGTCAGTGGTTTTGACATCAACATGAGCCTCAATCAAAGTCTGCCACTTTTTAACCAATGACCTAAGTTTGTCGGTTGTGAAGTCCATGCCCTAAAGAGAAAAGAGTGTCAAGAACCCATCAAAGCCAAATTTACTAATGGAAATCAATGTTTACTTACCCAGAATTGGCACAAAACGTTCCTGCCCTGGACATCTTCAGCTCTGAGACGGATCTTCCTGTAAGCATTATCTTCATCAACTTGAAGATCAGCTAGAGAGACCTCAAAAACTCTGTGTTTCAAACCTTCAGAGGCAATCTGGGAGAATTAGAAAAGACAGAGTTAGATACAAGAATAATCAAATCATTCACAAAGTCAGCACATATAACATTAAACACAAGTCACATCTATTGCAAAATGCAGTAGTAACGTAATAACATAAGATCTAACAACCATAAAGCATTGCACTGGGTTACTCAAATCAGCTTAATCATAGGACGAATCTAAACAGCTAAGTCATTAGAGGAGATTGTAAAAAGAGAGAGAGAGAGAGAGAGAGACGGAAACATTACTTTGGTACCCTGAGTCCTGGAAACAAGTGTCTTTCCAACATTCCGTTTGGTGAAGTTTGAAGGAGCCTTGACATCATACCAGTCCTTCTTGGAGAAAGGATCAACACTGCATCATTTGTTGAATCAAAAAATGATAAGATTCAACATCGAGAGTGTGCACTACTACATAAACATTGTTAAGAAGAAGGAAATAAAACTTACGCCTTCTTCTTTCCCCCCTTCCTACCCTTAGAGATTCTCTTGTTTTTCCTACAGTTAAACTCATCATAGATCAGTGACCAATACGAATCAGATAGTAGAAACGAGAGGAATATCTGGGAGAGAAAAAGTACCCGACGGCCATGGCTGAGGAAACAGAGAAGAATCAACAAGAACAAGATTTAACCTAAAATGCTTCTACGGCGCCTCTTCAATTTAAAGTCTTCTTCTAGGGTTTGGGTGTTGACATAGTTTTGGGCTTTAAAACTGACCCAATAAAGAAGTACTCGATTATTATTACCCTAAGATGTTTTACTTACACAGAATAGCCCACTCGAGTGTTCAATATTTTCTTTACTCGATCTCTAGATGAACGAACACATTCTGTGATAATAAAACTTTCAAAACCAAAATTTACCGTTCATGAGTTTAGGAAAATTATCAAGTAAGTTGTGTATCATAGATAGATAGATAGTTGTAAAATATATAGTTATTATTTAATTTCTAGACTATTTACATGATTACTAAAATCTCCGGTTTATTTTGTCTCGTTTGGACTGTGTCATTGATTAAATCATCTTAGTCAACCGTATCAGTGATTCAAGCCAAGAGCGAATATGAATAAAATTATAAGCGTAAAAGAAAAGGAGTGAACAAAAGTCTGACTGTAGAAAGCTTTAAACCATTACCAAAAACTTCTTTGGATTCTTGTGCTTTAATTTTATCTAAGCGATTTTCAAGTTTCTCAAGGCACAAGTGAGGAGGTTGAGCTTAGCCGGAGCTTTTTGCTTGTACTCTCTCTCCAATGCAGTTGCAGCCAGAGACTGAAGCTCTGGTGCAGCCATGTCCTTGTCCTCTCTGTTCCTTCCTTTTGACAGCTGTGCGATCGCTGATCCACACTGATTTCACAAAAATGAATCGCAAACCGAAGATGTATCGATCATTTTGTCCCTTGCAAACCGAAGTGGATTAAAACTGGTGTAACTTGTGAGAAATAAAGGGGTCTTACCAAGCATATTCCGAGAAGTGCTCTTGTGCTTTTACCACCTGTCAAGTCTATAGTTGCTGCATAGTACTTTCTTGCTGCTATGAGGTTTTCTAGTCCACCCATTGTGTAGAGAACCTGATTTTGAGGATTGCACGCATAATGAAAATTACTTAAAATTACACAATCATACATGATCAAAGCTGAAGTTTAGAGTTTCAAACAATAAAAAAAACTTTCACACTTTTGGATTCTCAGTTTTGCCTTTCCAGAAAATAGTTCGCTCTTCTATTGCTACTTCATGAATAGACATATGAATGACTATTAACTTCCAGTGTAGGATATAAGGAACAACTAATTTATTATTGGATGCAATCTAAATACAATGCCTTCAACAGACCAAGACATTTTGATGCTTTTTCGTGTTGGCCATAACTGTAAAGACAGAACAATTTGACTTTTTTTTTAACAAAGAAATAAAAAAAAGGGACTTACGTCGGCATATGCTAAGTGGTACAATGGAAGAGTAGGCTGAGTTAGTATGAGCTCCTCGTAGCAGAAAGCTGCTTGCTTGTACCTGTTACAGATTATCAATTTAATTGGGTTAGAAGAGATAACCCCAGAAATGGAAAAAGATTGTTAATTGTTGCGTAGTCAATTGTTTGTCAAAAAGAATTGTGGACAGAGGATAGAGAGGCGTACATTTGCAAGGAAACATAAATTTCTGCAAGTTCTCTCCAGGCATCATGATCAGCCATGAATCTACATAAGAAAGAAGAGCAGATAAAGGTGATTAGCTGTGGTTTCTTCTGAAGTACTTCTATTAGTCCAGCTTGGGGTTAGTAAGTACTCACACTTCAAGATATTTGTTCAGATGTTCAATGGCTAAGGAAGGTTTGCCCTGTGCCTTGGCCATAGCCACCTTTCTTTTGTGTATTACCTAGACATCGAGTTTTACTTACAACACTTAATATTTGGAAGCAGCTTGTGGGTTGTTTCATGAAGAAAAAATGCGGAAGCTTACTTGATCAAGTGGATTATCCTCCAACAGGCTCGAATATGCTTTTTCAGCCTCTTCCCACATTCCCTTTGCTTCTAGCAGCAAAGCCTCCAGCTTGCCTGAAATATATTACCAAGATGCAGCTCAGATTGGTATCAAGGTAAACTAAGAAACTAGGTGCCTGCAGAGCCCAACTTTCAGTATAACTAGAAAACATCTGAGCGTAGATATGAACACCCAGAAGACCCAAAAATGGCAAAGTAGACATAAACTTGTGAGTAAGGACATGTGAATAGACAAAACTTACACATGTACACCATGTGAATTCAGCATGACATAGCTGGTATACTACAAACTTGATAATTTGTTCTTACTTTTGAGAAGGAAATGCAAGAAAAAGTATAAAGAAAATGGAAAGGATGTGGAGGTAACATTTCTTGTTCCTGACCTAGTTATCAATTCGAAGGTGGTATATCCTAGAAGCCTAGAGACTGGATGCGAGTAAATTATGAATTCCAACAGGATTGAAGAATTGCTCAGTTTTTCAAGGGTATGTTGACTTACCAACACGTTTGCTCTCTGGAAATTTCTTCTGCAAAGCCTTGATGCAATTCTGAAAAAAGACAAAGTTTATCCAAATTGTCTTGAGCAGGCTTGAAAAGTGTGGATGAGAGAATGATTATTTGGAACGCAAAAGCAAAACCCAAGTTTCCTTCATTTTGAGAAAACAACTCACATCACAATGCGCATCCATGATATATACAAGATATTGCCCCAATGCAAGAATACTTTGGAAAAGAGGCTTAAACCTAAGAAATAGCATTCACATACATCCCTAGATAACTGATGCAAGTTTTCAACAAAACATTATCTTAAAATAGGATCATGTAGTTTTCAAGGTACCAATTAAAAGCGTAAGGGAAATTCACCTGTGCAACACCAAGTGATTGACAGTCCATAGCTGCAATTGCTACCTGCTCATACAGTGTCCATTCTGCATAAATAAAGGAAACCGCTCTTTTATTGCGTTTATATAAAACAAACATAATGTGCAAGCAGCTCTTTTATTGCGTTTCAACAATTACCTAAGACAAGAACAACAACAAACTCAACCAGATTGGCAGAGATATTACATGTAGAAAACAAAATAAAAAGAAATCCATCTAAACCGGTTCGTCTGAAACAGAAGTCTTTGCTTTGATTCTGACCCTTTATCAGCTAAAACTATGTTTAATTTCACAAGTAGCAATGAAACAGTGAACAAATCAATCTAAGAATACTAGATATAGCATTGAGCAGATAAAAGGTAGATCAAGTATTAGTAAGAACTGGGCGTAGAAGCATATAATTTAAGAAACAGAACAATATCAAATTGAATTTCAAGTATGATTTGAAGCAATCGAATAGAACACGATTCAGGAAATCAACAAACACACTGTTATCAAAACCAAACAGACCATCTGGACCAAGAGCAGATCGCTTTCCCGAATCGTTCAAGATCGAGAGACCGTGCTTGAGCACAATCTCTGATCGGCGAACCTTGAGCTTACGAACGAGGCACAGATACTCCCAAACACCTCCTCCTCCATTCTCAACTTGATTCTCCAGTTGGTTCAACTGTGTTTCCTCCGTCTTCGTCACCATCTCTCTCTCCGATTTGCTCTCAACCTTCGAAAATTTGTGGATCTGTTTGTTAGTAGTGGAAGCTCGATCAGGAAAGGAAAGTCGCTTTTTTCTACAAAGAAGACATTGACATGAACCGGTTCGGTTTCATATTCGTACCGATCTGGTTTAAAGCATATTCGAGGGATTATTAATGGCGAATGAACGCTGCGTTTGATTCATTGGTATCGATTTGGTTTAGAACATATTTATCGGTTTGGTGAGATTGAAAGCTCAATGACCGGGTCAGGTCAATGGAGAACCGAAACGGTGCGTTTTACAGAGCATTCGATTTTCAATTGTCTTCGCCCTTCCGGTGAAGAAGGCAATGAAATTAAGTAGAACTGTGTTGTCTTCTTTGCCGTCTCTGCTAAAACCCTACTCGAGCTTGAGCTGGACTACTACAATAGCGACGACAGCTAAAACCTTTGAAGGTATGACAACTGTAGATGAAGCTGACGTGGGCATCTCCTGTTTCATCTCCCAGCTCCCTGGCTTCCGTGGAATTCTCAAACAAAGGTCGTGAGATCAGTTTAAGCTTTTTATGCTTCTTCTTATACACAAACATTCTTGTCCAATATAGCCAGAGATTGAGATTAGGATAAAAATTGAATTTTTATTTTTTGTGTGTATTTGTGTTTCATAGATACGCAGACTTTATTGTTAATGAAGTGGATATCGATGGAAATGTGGTTCATTTGACATCCTTGGACTTGCCTCCTGAGATGGTTTGTCTCTCGCCTCATTTCATTTCACCTGAAGGATCTTTTATCTTTTAGTTTGTTTGTGCTAATGCGTTGTTGTTTGTTGTTCAGGATGTGAAGGAGGAAGATAAAACGAAAACTTCTGATAATGTACCTCAAAACTATACTTCGGCAATTGAGTCTTTCAGATCAATTTCCAGTGTCACTGATGCAGAGCGTTTGGAAACATTGATCAATCAAGTCACCTCAGGAACTGATGATGAAATCTCACCAGTTGTTCTTGATCCAAGTTCTGACAAATCCAAGAGAACGGTATAGGTTTGGGTCACAGAGTTACATATCCTGTTATTGACATTATCTTTTTGACTTCTTATTAGATTTTCTTTTTCTTTTACTACTATACAGGCTATCCACAACTTTGTTAAAGAGAATTTTAAGTTCCTAGTGACTGACACTGTCGATGGTCCTGATTCTACTTCAAAATGCATCCGTGTGCGAGTGAATTCAGGAGCCCATAACAACAGAGGTAATAGATCAAAAAAACGCAAGGAAAGAGGCGATAAGCCTTTTGATAGCAGAGGTTCAGAGCATTGGCCAGAGCATGTTGGCAAGTTTCTCAGGTAATATCTATAAATCAACTTATATCTGGCATAAAATTTTCTATGTATTGGAACTAGTAAATTAGTCTATCCTGAAAAATGGATACCTGAACTGGAGGTATTTCTCACTTTAGAGATGTAGATCAGCGTCTTGAAATTACTGATACAATCAAACTAAAGAGTGTATTTTATACATCATAATCTCTGTAGTGCTTCCATTTTATTAATGCATTTGGACGTGCAACATATGTGTCATTTAATTTATGAGTGGTTTAAGTTTATAGGTTCCATCTTTACAAGGAGAACAAAGATACACAAGAGGCCTTGGGATTGATCGGAAAGATGCTAGGCGTTCAGGTGTTTCCCATCTTCTTCTGTCTACAAAGGGGGCTGTTTTATCTCTAGCCAGTGTACTTTTCCTTGATAAGCTGTGTTATGAAATGGTTTTTTAATTTTACAGCCAAAGTCCTTCGGATTCTCTGGAACAAAAGATAAGCGGTCTGTTTCAACTCAGCGTGTAAGTTATCTATACCTGTTTTCTTGGTAAGATGAGTTTAATTGTTACAATTCATGATAAGAGAATTGGGCTTTAGGTAACTGTGTTCAAACAGCAAGCCAGCAAATTGGCTGCGCTTAACAAGAGATTGTTTGGGATCAAAGTTGGTGACTTCTGGTAAGCCAACATTATTCTTGAATGTTTTCATTTTGACCTATTTATGTGGTCTTAGAGTTAATGATGATTGCTACCGCTTTCCAGCCATGTCAAAGAGGGCCTTCTCCTTGGGCAGCTCATGGGAAACAGATTTACCATCACATTAAGGTAATAATGTAACTTGACATTGTAAAAAGAAACTCTTATGATCTTCTGTCAACTTCCAGATTCTCTTCTTCAAGAAACATATTTGATCAAATTTGGCTGGGAAATGATGCAAAGATCTTCATTTTCATGGAATATCATTATATGTATAAATTCTTATATTTTCAGAGGAGTGGTTGCGGATTCTGAAGAAACTATAAAAAAATCTGCAGAATCCTTGGGGAAAGATGGCTTCATCAACTACTTTGGCTTGCAGGTACTATTCTCTTGTCGAGTTGTAATGATATATATGTTATATTCTCTTTTTAGTTGCTAATTCGACTTGCTCTTTTGCATTGTGGTATCGAGTAGTGCCTTCCAGAAAAAAGTCACTTGAATCTTATTAAATATTAATATTTCCTTATGAATTTTGTATTTGTGTGATAGCGTTTTGGAAGTGGTTCAGTACCAACCCACCATGTTGGAGCTGCACTATTGAAGGGAGAGTGGAAAGATGCCGTAGACATGATTCTTGATCCAAGAGAAACTGATATCCTTTAACATGACCTATCTCAGCTACAATTGCTAATCCGTCCTAAAACCATATTGTGGCTCTACGAAAATAGGAATGCAGCAATGCATGGTTTTTCTTGACTTTAAGCTTTTTTCTACAAAGGCATGTAGTAAATGATGCCCGGGAATATTACAAAGAAACTGGCGACATTGACGGGACTCTAAGGCAATTACCGCGATACCTCGTTGCTGAAAGAGCCATAGTAAGTATGCAGCTACTCCTGTATTGGTTTCTACCATAAATGGGTTTTCCATGATAATCAGTTTTAATCTTGGCCGTTTTGAAACAGCTGCAGTGTCTGAAGAAATGTCCTGGTAACTACCTGCAGGCTCTGAAAGGCATTCCCAGAACTTTAAGAATGATGTAAGCGCTTGATTCTTTAATATTTCTTTAGTACCTTCCGAAACAGTTTACCTTTTGCGACTGGGATATGACATGCCAAGCCACAGACGCAGATCAAGTTTTTTTAGCTTATTGTATATCTGATCCTTACCATGCAGGTATGTACATAGTTATCAAAGCTACTTATGGAACAATGCAGCAAGTCTACGCGTCACAAAATATGGTACATCTGTGTTGTTTCTTTATAAATCTTGTCCTATTCTGGATGCTTGTTTATGGAGGTTTTAACTTTCACCCTTTTGTTTTTGTCGTCTTGCAGGGACAAGCCAAGTTGTGTTGGGGGACTTGGTAAGTACAAAGGTAGATGCTGAAAAAAGAATGGTCGATAGTCTTACCTCTGAGCACAACGAAAGCAGCGAAGAGGCATTGGATTGTGACCAGGTAGATGATACTGCTGTTGTAGATCTTCCAGCTGAAAGGAGTGACCTTGTTAAGGTTAGTTTTTATTTCAAACTTCTTCTTATTAGGTCGTTCATAGTTGAAAACTTTTGCTGCTGTCATCTTGTGTGAAAATACCTTCAGATTATGTGATCTAATGGAATTTTGGGCATGAAGTTTGATTAATGAGATTTCTGCATTGTCTTTTTTCCATATTCATATATGCTTTAACGCATTTACATTCTCATTGTTATTTGTTAATACTAGCATTATTCATGTGTGATATTTTCTTGTGTTCTTCAGGTTGTAAGTATAGAGGATTTGGAAGCTGGAACTTACTTAACCAGTGACATCGTCCTCCCTCTACCTGGGTGAGTTGCTGGCAGAATTTTCCAGTACATGTAGATTTTACATTTTACTGCTTGAGACCTTAAGTCTTTTCTTTGTGCTTCAACAGTTCAAGAGTCATTTACCCGTCTAATGACATTGCGGAAATTTATCATGATTTGGCAAAGAAGGTTTGTTAAAGTCAAATTCATGTTTGTTCTGGACAAATTAAACTCACTTATTCTCAGTTACTTTCTAAAGTTTACATCTCCGCTGATGAATCTATGAATTTCTGCTTACATTGTTCAGGATGGTATCAGCCTAACTGAGAGCATTCATGGTGTAAAGTAAGTTCTGATATGCTTTTTTTTTTCTTGTAAATCCCTATGCTTGTATCACTCTGTATCACCAGAGCATCTACTCTATTATACTAATAACAAGTATTGTTTCAGGGAATTTTCAATAACTAGCATGACTGGTGGTTATAGACGTGTTTTCCAGAAACCAATAGACTTTGAATGGTACGCAATGTGTATAGTTAGAGCTTCCTCCAGTTTTGAGGTCAAACATTATATGGAAGTAAAGACTAATTTTGTGTGTAAATTGCTGCAGGGAATTACTGACTTACACTGACAGCAATAAACCATTGGCAGAGACGGATCTGGACAGGATAACCGTGTACAAGCCGGTGGATAAAGTTGGATCTGCGGAGGAAATTGAAGATGAACCGTTGAAATCTGATACTAACCCACATGAATCATGTGAAACCAATTTGAAGGACCAGACAGATAGCAAAGAGGATGAAAAAGACACTAGAAATCCAGATTCTGAGCAAACACAGATGGCGCTTAAAATGGCACTCACTCTTCCATCTTCTTGTTATGCCACAATGGCAATCAGAGAACTGTTAAAGACGTCAACTTCTGTAAGTACTCAAACTGCTATATCTCAGAAATTCCTTGAATTTGGTACTTTCAAGTTCACAAATTAAAGTAAAAATATACATCTGAACACTGCTTTTTTTCTTTAATTGCAGGTTGCATATCACAAGACACTTAACTAGCGATTTTGCTCTATAACTTTTGCTGGTTATATTACTCTGTTTCAGACACTTAACTAGCCATTCTATCTTGTCTGCTTTAAACATGTGTGCATTCATGTATTTATGCGGAAGTTCAGGAAGTTTTGTCTGAATAAGCATCAAAATGGAAGTTCTATTTTGGTAACCGGCCAAGTTTTTTCTTGAATTTCAATGTATCAGACACAGAGGGTCAGCTACTCATTAAAGAAGACAACCTAGGTAGTTAACTTTGATACAATTTTCTTGACTGATTAAAAAACTGTTAAAAGGTGGAAAATTTTCACGTCACAACAGGTTAGAATTAGAAATCCGTCTCTCAATCTTCCAGCTTATTAGTAGTAGTTTCCTTGAAGCTCTTGGACAACCAAATCGCTGTTTCTCTGGGTGAGACTTTGCCTGGACCAAAGGGTCTCAATAAAACATTGAGCTCATCGTACCTCTCATCTTGAAGCAACCTTGCACTGAATTCAAGCAATCCCTCCAGTGCCTCAGCCCGTTGCTGATACGAGCTAGGATCAAATCTTTGTCTCCTTACACCCGACGAAGCCCTGCTTGATACTCCAGCTGTCGCATTCTGATCAGATGATTCACTCCTATCTTCCAGATATGCATCTTCATACACCGCCTTCATAATCGCTCCTTCTCTGTTTTGGCCTGGTTCAAGAGTAAATTTGTCTTTTGTGATTGAGCAGTCTAGTGGTGGCTCTGGAGGTGGACTGTAGGAACCTCTAGACGACGCTTTCTTCTTCTTACCACGCACAACCGGAACAAAAGGCTCTTCCTCGTATGACGCTAGTGGAAACTCAATCTTGTCAATTCTTGGTGCGTTCATTGACACATCAGGAGAATTTATCTTGTGGAGAAAACTGGTTTTCGAAATGTACAGAGAGTCTTTGATTTCTTTTGCAGGTTTTCTTGAGCTAGGCATGGAGGCTCTACGAATCAAAGCGGCTGGTTTTCGGTTTTTAATCTGTGATGATACAGGAAGCTGCAACATATAGGAACCACCACTCTTATTCTGACAAAATAATCAGTAAAACCAGTTAAGAAGAGCATTTTATATGGATCACTTACTTGACCAAGGTCACTCCTAGGCTGTCTCGGTCTCACAGGTGAGGCCGAAGCTCTCACTGGAACATACCTAGAACTCTTAGAAGCCTCTGAAGTTCTACGAATAACCGTTCCATCACCGCTTTCATCTGTAGACAAGTCTACTTGCCTTTCACGAGTCAGATATGCGGGCGCAGGTTTTTTTATGGAAGAAACAGAATCTTCCTGGTTACCCCTAAACCTGCTTGGGCCAAAGCTATGGCTTTTGCCAGCAGGACGCCTTCTCTGCTCTGGAAAGCTGTTTCTCCTGGCGGATTCAGATTCTGGCCATTGGGCATGTAACACATTACTTCCTGGATCATTCACTTTCAAATGAATCTTCTGGATATAAGGTTGAAGCAGCGGTTGTCTAAGAAGCTCAGCAGCCTACGCAGAAGAAGAGAGATGAAGTTTACTTGTCAAGTTTGTTCAGTATCAGGTTGTGACCAAATACCAAAAGACAGAATCATATGACGTACACTTGGTCTAAGTTCTGGATTTTTCCGGAGCATACTTTTGACCAGACCTCGGCTGAAGAAAGCAGCACGCAAACTCAGAAAATTCTGATAGATCTCACATTTAGACAAACAAGATCCTATAGACTTACAAGGCAGCAGAATATTGCGCCGGAAGTGGGGGAACGATTGATCTGTTAATCCTGTTTATTAGTCCTTGCATGTCCTGCAACCATTTGAGACGCCAAGAACCATTATAAACATCTGATGAACAGTACCAAGAGGAACGTAAATAGTGGTTTAAGAGCTTACAAAAGCTTTGAAAGCAGGTTTCATAGCCGTCATCTCATACATACAACATCCTGAAGAAAAGAAGATAAAGATTCAGATGAATATATTATTTTGTTATCTAAAGCTAAAGGTTAAGAATCTATCTTAGCCATAGATGAGAAACTTGCCAAGCGACCAAATATCAGACTTGGACCCATAGGGTATATCGGCTAGTAGCTCGGGGCACATGTAACTTGGTGTTCCAACCACCTAGTTTTTAAGAAGGGTAAAGATCAAACCTGAGTTCGGAACAAAATCCTATGTAAAGGATTGAAGGAAACTATACTTACTGAAGACGCGAGGTCATCTGATGTTAAGACTTTGGCAAGTCCAAAATCGCCTGCGGAGATCATAGAGCCGATTTGTTACATTTAAGTCGGGGTTGTGTTAGTCTGACTAGGAAAATGATATAATGTGGCAAATTTGTTTTGCATCTCACCAAGGCGTATATCCTGATCCTTTGTCAAGAATATGTTCGAACACTGGAAGAATAAAAATAAGTTAGTTCTGTATCAGTATGGAGATTTTTCAATAAATTGTGTTAGTCTCCTAAGATCATAACCAACCTTGACATCGCGATGGAGAATGTGATTGGCATGCAAGTATTCAAGAGCCATTAAGAGCTGAACAAGCCATTTGCAGAGTTTCTGATATCACAAAAAAAATTTGGAGAGGTTCAGAATTTGGAGTATCAATGGCCAGAATTTATCAAACATGTCTCGCACAAACCTCTTCAGTGAAGTGTACGCCATTGGTTTTCTTTATCGCTTCCGCCCTGTAATGCAGAAGAAACAAAAAAAATTCAGAAAGTGTATCAGAGAGCCTTTTCTTTCTCTAGTCAAACAGGCGAAAACTGCTGAAAAAGAATAAGCTTACATGTCTCCTCCTTTGCAGTAGCCTATGATAATGCACACATAGCATCCCTGATAGCACACATCCATTATAGACAATAGAGCTGGTTATATTTTCAAATCACGAAAAGAAAAGATATGTATAGATGATACCTTTTCAACCCAAGAATCTTTATATTCCACAATGAATGGATTATGTATCTTTGAAATCAACTCCATCTACAAGGAGATAACAGGATATTGTTAGTCTACAGAAAGTCAACATCTGTAGCTCAAGAATACTGTATGATCGATGACAGTATTACCGAAAAGACAATTCAACATTAATCAACAAAGTAACATCAAGGGCCATTGTTTAGACTAAAATCTTTCCAAGAGTTCTAATTGCAGGATCCATGTCTAAGAAGTGGCAAAAGGCCAACTGGTTTAAATAATCAAATTTGTACACAAATTGGCCTCAGGAAAGCGTAATGTATGTGAATGTTACAGAACACAGAAGAAATTTCAAGCAACCTCTTGATGAGCAGATCTTCTAGTCCTACCAGTCTGCCGAGCAAGCCGGATTTTCTTCAAAACATATCTTTAGAAAGCAAACACAGAAGAGAACAAAACATTACAGAAAATTCAATTCTCAGAGAACATCATTAATTACACAATCCTGGTTAAGTACTTACAGTTTCTTCTCATGTTTATGTCTCACAAGAAGAGCTGACCCAAAGGAACCTTTTCCAATTTGCTCAAGAACCTCGTAATTCTCCATTGACAAACTCTAAAATTCACCTCCTTTGTCTATAGAATCTGAAGATAGAAGACACATTGTAAGATCAATTTATCCTTAATAACCATTGTTCTTATAAGTAATACAAACCCGTACCTTTCTGGAGATTATAACAAATATCAAATAGAATGAGCAAAAGTAGTCAATAAAACGGAAAAAGTTAAATCTTTTGAGGAAATTCAAAATAAGGTAACCCAGTCGTAAAAATCGAATCTTTCGTCATAAAACATGCAAGATTCAAGTTTTATTTGTGTCCGATGATTGTCAAAGATGAAACTTTCTCTGAGACAATCTGGAAAAATTTACAGATTATTTTCCTCGCATTCACAGAAATTAACAGCCCATCAAATTGACACAATGAAGAAGACAACATTATTTGCTAAATAAACAAGAAACCGTTACTTGGGTTCGAAACTTAAAACAAGGAAAGAGAGAACAAACCTAAAACGGCGTCGTTGCGAGATTCAAATCGGCAGATTTAAAAGACGAAAACGAAGAAGAAGAAAAGGAAGTTGAGAGAGAAAACAGTTTCTGCATTTCCTGGAGGAAACTACAAAACGGCATCGTTTCCGGAGAAGCAGCAACGGTAGTGAAGAGTAGGCATTGGAAGAAAACAAAGAAGAAGATGAAGAAACTTGTTCGCCATGAGACCTGCTCTCTCTCTCTCTCAGAGGAAAACGACAGATTTTGCTCTCGATGGAAAATAAGACTTTGTAATTTCCTTATATATAAAAATTCAGACAACAATATACTTTATTATTTATTTAATGTTATGCAAATTTAATATCTGATTCACCCTTTTGTCTGAATGATGTGACTTTACTTTATTTTTTTTATTTTTTTTTTTGAAGTTTTTAACATAAAAAAGCATAAAATGACAAGTTCTTCTTGGGATAATATATATTATTTTTTGTAGTTCGTGCATTACGAATTATTAATATTATTTGAGCAATAATTGATTAGGTCGCGTTACCAAAAAATTTTTATTTAAATGTTAATGAATTCTTTTGCTATATAGACTAAATTCTTTTGAGTATCACACAATACGTTGGATTGTTTTGTTTGTCTTGAAAATAAATAAAAATATATTGCATAGCAATTTCACTATATATGATGTCTAGAAGCAAGACTTCATCGTCGAGCCTTGAACTCTTCTTTAAAGTTTAAACTAATACTATATGGCAATTTGTATTCCTTGTTTCTCCTTGCTTGCTTTGGAAAAAAAAAAATTGTTGCTTCTATGAACAACTTTTTGAATGATTATTGGTTAATGTATCGGCAAAAACAACAAAAAATGGTATAATAGTTTGATGATTAGATCCACTCATTTTACATCAAACAAGGTAAGCATTGTGATTAAAATATTTATTTTTATGGATCGTTATGAATTTTCTAAACTGTCGTTCTCATGGACAAATAATTCTTCGGCAGTGTCAATCTCACGGTTTAAGTCTAATCGATTTAAATAAGTATGGAAAAGAACAATACTTATCCATCTAAATCCACTTATGTTTTATGTCATTTCTTTGAGATTAGGCATGTATTTAATTTACAGGCATGTAGTTATATACTTATATGCATAGCATTGTTCAAGATTTTTTAATTGTATATACAATTCAGTTTAGTTCAACTAAATTGCTCTGAAATGTATATTAGACAGTTAATATGCTCACAGAAAACAAAAAAAAATACAGTTAATATGCTCACAAATATATATATATATATATATATAAAAATATAAACATTACTCGATACATTAACATATAACATAGTGGCACCCAACAACATTTTGAAAGATTTTTGTCTCTCAAGCTCATTGGCCGAGAAAATTGATTAATTACAAATGTGATTTGATTAATTACAAATGTGATATATAAAATCGTTCGACGAATATTTCTAATTGATTTTCGTTGTAGTTTTTGTAAGTTTTTTCGTCTTACTTCACACCCACTTATACAATTGCCTTGTCCATGAAACTATTTATTAGACCTTTAGTAGTTTAGGGCAAAGGCAAACCGCGTGAGCATATTAAATTATAATAACCACGTCAACGTGAAATCTATTTTTCTTTCTATAAAGGCCACCAAATTATACAGAGATTTTCAAATCCAGCATTTTGGTTTTACGTACCTTAGAAATGTGCAATCATATTGCAGGGATGTTCATTGTTCAGTCCAATCAACTTCTGGCTATATCCTCGTCTTGTCTTTTCACCGTGGTTGTATTGTAGAATATATATGCTTTGGAAATTTTGAAAATACAAACTTAAGAACATGATAAAAAGTACTTTTTACTCGAAATGACTATACATACATTCACTAGTATTTTTAGTCGAAATAACTCTTTAATCTGGTAATAACTAATAAGATAAAAAGAAACCACAAACCAAAAGGCCCAAGATTTAATTTTAAAAGCCCAAACGTTTAGAAAAATAACTCTCTAACCTAGTAATCTAGTTCGCGTAAGATAAAGAGGGTCCATAACCCAAAAGGCCCAATATTAAAGTCTTAAAGCCCAAACGTTCAGAAAACTAAAAGACTCAGAATTCTCGGATTGTCCCCAAAGTTATTTCCTTTTTCTGCTATTGACTTTAAAAGTTATAAACCTCAAAATTCATCCCTTAAACCCTAAGCCTAAACAAGAAACGCAGTAGCCGTGACAATGGCGGATCCGACGAACCCTAGCACCGGCGATCAACAACACCAGAAGTACCGTCAGTACAATCCCTACCAACAAGTCAATCTTCCGTACCGTCAGCTATACGAACTCCCAACTTCGCCGGAGTTTCTCTTCGAAGAAGAAGCTACGAAAAAACGCTTAACATGGGGAGAGAACCTCACCTTCTTCACCGGTTGGGGTTATGTCACTGGATCGGTTCTCGGAGCCGTCAAGGGTACAATTAATGGGATCGGAGCCGCCGAAAGAGGCGAATCCCTAAAGATCCGAACTAATCGGATTTTGAACTCCGGTGGACTCGTTGCAAGACGCGGCGGGAATTGCTTAGGATCTATAGGGTTGATGTTCGCAGCTATGGAGAGTGGTGTTACGTATTTGAGAGACGGAGACGACGGTTCGAGGACAACTGTCATCGCTGGTTTAGCCACTGGTGTGCTTTACAGAGCTGCTTCTGGACCTAGATCCGCTGTGGTTGCCGGAGCTGTCGGAGGAGTTACTGCTTTGGCTGCGGTTGCTGGGAGACGCATCGTCAAGCGATTCGTTCCAATCTGATGAGTATTTCTCAATTTCTCAAGGTTAGGGTTTAAGAATTAGTTTAAAGGAAAGGCCTTTAGTGAGTGAATGAATCATTGGTACTGGAATTAGGGTTTATGAATTTCCTTCCACTGTATAAAAAAGTTGACATTTTTATTGATCTGATTCAACTTTTGCTGATTTTTTCGAATTCACGAAATTGAAATGATCTCACATAAACTCAATTGGTAATTTTACAAAGGAGAAAAATTGTCAATCAAATGTAGAAGAAGAAGAAGAAAGATTGAATTTTGAACCTCACTTGGTCATAACTTGAACACCATTCTTTCCAGCGATAATCACAGAAGTAGCCATTCCTAGAAACAGACCATGCTCCACCACTCCTTGAAACTTGCCGATCTCTTTCGCCGCCGCGAATCCATCCTTCAAAGGATTCTTAAAATACAAATCAATAATGTAATTACTGTTATCAGTCACATAAGGCTTGCCATCTCCATCAACTCTAAGCTTAGCATCACATCCAAATTCCTTAAACAGATCCTGCAATCTAATCAAATTAAAGTTCCAGCAGAATTGAACAACTTCCACCGGCATAGCTAATCCACTTCCACCGAGTCCTGTAACGAGTTTGGTATCATCAGCCACAACGATAAACTTCTCAGCCACAGCTTCCACCATTTTCTCACGGAGAAGAGCACCTCCACGACCTTTGACTAAATCAAGATTCGGATCTACCTCGTCTGCTCCGTCAATAGCGAGATCGATTCTCGGATGCGTATCTAACGCAACAAGAGGAATCCCTAACGATCGTGCTTGTTCCTCCGTTCGTTTCGACGTTGGGATACCAACAATATCGTAGAGTTCACCGGAAGAGAGTAGTTTCCCGATCTGATCAACGGCGAATGCTGCGGTTGATCCGGTTCCAAGACCTAGAACCATTCCAGGTTTAATTGCCTCTACAGCTTTCTCCGCCGCGAGCTTCTTCAAATCGTCCTGTGAAAGCGCGACGGATTGAGCCTTGACGGAGAATGAAACGGAGGTTCTAGGAGAAGAGCCAGTGCTGCGTAGGGAAATAGAAGGAGTGCGTAGCGTAAGGTGGGAAGAGGAAACGAAGGATAAGGAAGCCATTGGAGAAGATTGAGAATGGTTGGAGAAGAAATAAAATCGAAAGGTTGGTTTTTGACTTTTGAGTGGAAGAGGAAGGTTTAGTGGCAAGTTATAGAGTTTTGTAGTTGGTTTGAGGGTAAAATTGGAATACTAGTTTTAAGGTTGTTGTATTTGGGTTGGTGAAGATAATAACTTGCTAAGCCAATCAGAGTGTTTATTACACGGTGTCGTTTTTGTTTCTTTGAGAAATTGAGAACAGAGTTATTATATAAAACCTTTTTTGTTTGGTTTCGTGGAGAGTCTAATTATTTTCTTCCACTTTCTCGATCTTTGAGATTTCTTTCAAAGGAAGAAAAAAAAAAAAAAACTCACGATGTCCGCCGAATCAGCTAGCCAAATTCCTAAGGGACAGGTGGGTTAACGAAGATTTATAGATTGTGATGGTTTTCTTCAATGAGGAATTCAATTCTTGGGTTGGAAGATTATCTAGGGTTCTTATCTGTGGTTCGAATCTTGATTCGAAGCTTTTTGATGTATTTAGTTAATCGATGCTATCTAAGTCTTGGTTGTTGTGTTTGATTTTCAGGTTGATCTACTAGATTTTATTGACTGGTCTGGTGTTGAATGCCTTAACCAAAGCTCAAATCACTCTTTGCCCAATGCTCTCAAGCAGGTTAGTTATTCTCTTAATGTAGTTGTATGTCTGTTTACAAGTTTGTGTTTGTGGTAAGTTCTTGAATCTGCTTATGTTCATATCTACAGATACTTGTTTGCTATGACTTGTCTATGTATAAATTGTTATGTGTGATTTTATGAGATTAGATATAGATGATTGACTACAAACTTAGGTTTTCGTGGAGTGATATTGCGTGCCAGCCTCCAATTTGTTTTTTTTTGAAAATAGTATATCCTTGAGTTCTTTTTTTCCTTCTCATTCCATTGTTAAGCCTGATGCAAAATTGTGGATTTTGAATTCATGATTACCTGTTTCTGTTGGTGTTTTATGACCTAAGAGTGATTTACTTGTTTGTGTAGGGTTATAGAGAAGATGAAGGTTTAAACTTAGAGAGTGATGCTGATGAACAACTTCTGATCTACATTCCTTTTAACCAAGTTATCAAACTACATTCTTTTGCTATCAAAGGGCCTGAAGAGGAAGGTAAATTGATGTTTTATGTTGAAAGATAAGCATATAGGTGTTTGTGATTTTAGTCTTGCCTACAAGAATTACTTCTTGTTACTGAACTGGAGATAGAATTTAGATATGTGGGGATGTTACTTGTTAGTCGAAGAGATTTAACTTTGTTTGATTCTAACTTTTCCTCAGGTCCTAAAACTGTAAAGTTTTTTTCAAACAAAGAGCACATGTGCTTCAGGTAATGTGAATCGTTTCTAATGTCTATCTAAGAATATGATTATCTCGAGAAAAGCTCAGACTCTCATTGGGTTTATTAAATAATACAGCAATGTCAATGATTTTCCTCCAAGCGACACCGCTGAACTAACTGAAGAAAACCTCAAGGTACGGCATTTCTGAAATCTAACTTTATTCATTTTGTGACATGTTCTGGTGATCTATCTGTATTGAGACCTCTGTTCAACTCCATTTACAGGGAAAACCGGTGGTCCTTAAATACGTCAAGTTTCAGAATGTTCGTAGGTAAGGATTTACCATGTTCTGTGTATATATAATGATACTAAGCGAAATCACAGCTCGTTCTGACCATATTTATTTTAATTCAAGCTTGACGATCTTCATCGAAGACAACCAATCAGGTTCTGAGGTCACCAAGGTTCAGAAGATTGCTCTCTATGGCTCAACGTAAGTCTCTGAAATCTCTGCCTAAAGAGAATGTTGTTCTTAGCTTTCATATTTCTGAAATCCTTAACTTGCAAATTTATTAATCTTTACACCATTATGTGCAAATAACAGGGTGGAGACGACTGATATGAAGGGATTGAAAAAGATTGAAGATCACTGAGCAAACAGAAGTGTTTTAATCATATGATCATCTATCACTTTGATTTCTAGTGTTCTATCGCGCTTTATCGTTCGTTTTTCACTTACTTTTTAAAGTTATTGGATAAAAATAGACCTGAACTTGTGCTTGCCGCTTCGCGTTCCTGCGAAACGAATGGTAAGTTCAATAACAATTTGAAAATCCCCCTTGCAATTCTCAACAGTTATCTTACATATAAGGCAATTACACAAGTAAAATACTAATGATGATATGATAGAACAAGGCATCAAATCTTAACAAGTAGACAGTTTTTTAGGAGAGGCCACTGTCTGTCCCTCAAGCACACAACAACACCACTCAACATTTCCACAAACCACTCCCTCTTTATCCCTTTCCAATTTAATCTCTGCGCACCAAATCTCGTTTTTCTCTTGAAGCTGTTTTTGTAAAAGCACGAACACCTTTCCACTGTATGACATGGTACGTGACGAAAAAACATCATCAGTCAATCTTCCCACGCCCTTCACACCTTTCCAAAATCTTTGTTTTGTATCATATGCAAATAACATCTCCAGAGATGGAAGATAGTAACACGATTGTATTCCCTCTATAACGCATTCACCAGCATTCCACATCTTTGAATTTAAGATGTCGTCCTTCTCCCAATTATCTTCGTCCGGATCGTAAACAAAGCAATTCTTTGAAGTCTTGAAGTAGATTCTATCGGGTGTCACCACACTGTTACAAACCCACTTGCATACCTTCATGGCTGGTCTCCAACTGAACCATGTTTCAGATTCTGTTTCAGATTCGCATTCTCTGATATATATCTTCTTGTCAATGATGTTAGAGACAGAACTAGCCATTTCGCTTGGCATGCTAGGGAGGCGTTGTGCCGTGTGAAACCGACTATCAATTGAGTAACGTATTAGTAGGTGAGAGATTCTCATTGTTAGATCCTCCGACCACAAGGATCTTTGAATCAAGGGCGACGTAGATGCCACCTGTAGGTATAACAGGGACTGATGTGATAGGGACCAAGCAATGATGATGGTTAGTTGAGTTGGATTTCCGATGAAGAGTATACAAACGTTCACCACCATCGTTGTCCTCGGATTAAGAAATGGTAACATAGAGACAACATTCGGTGCGGTGCGGTCTAAGAGAGACCGTGTTACATATAGTTCATGCGATGCGATAACTGAGCGAAATAATTTCGAAAAGAGAGAAAGTGTTGGATAGTAACGTCTCGGTACACGAGCTATAAAATTTATAATGATATCTGCAGGAAGTGAAGGGATCGAAGACATCGCTATAGATATCGATCGTTTAAATCCGCACAAGAATGCTATAACAATCTTTGTTTTGTTTTTGTTTTACGAAGGTAAATAAAAGACTTGGCAGAATCAATTGAGGTAAAACAAGAGTAGGTTATTAAAAGTTTTTAAATGGACATATGTTGAAATATATTTATATTATTACTTTTATTGATATTATTTCAAAAGATAAGAAAATCTAGATATATATATTTGTCTTAATTAAAGCCAATATGAAAATCTTGATTTATAACTATTAGAATTGACGTGGCATTCATCATATTTAGACTTGGGGATTTGACTGGGATTAATCATTTAATATAATTTTGTCCTCTGTATATTAATCAATTTAGGAAAAATAGTTAAAGATGATTTTGATTTTGGGGCTTTTTATTATTGTTTTGACAACAATGTTTTCACGGCCGACCCGAACCGCCCGGTCCGACCGGTTAACCCACGACCCATATACTTTTCCGGTTTGGGTTTAGTGCTAATATCCGCCAATTTCAAAACCGCAAAAACCCACAAATACCCGCTATTAACCCGCGACCCAGTGAACCGGTTGAACCGGCTGGGTATAGGTTTTAAAAATATCATTTGATTTTAGAATAAAATATAGAGTTTTAGACTATTTAGTTATTTTTAGATTTTTTTTTAAAATTCTTAAACTCATTTGATGTTTTAGATTTTGATGAAACTTCACTGTACCGACAAAGAAGAATGGATGGAATGGTGAAAGAAATAGTCGAGATTAGTTGTTTTGAATTCGCGATGGTATATTAGTTTATTTCTGTCATTGGCGGTCTCATAGTATTTTAATATTTGTTACGGTTTTAGACTTTTACTTGGATTTAAAAATTTAATTTGAATCACTTTATTATTATTGTTAGACTTCATATTTTGTAAAGATAGTTTGAATATTTATAAAAACTATATAATCTCTTTTAATATTTAATAATATTTAACCCTTGATCCAGTGACCCGAGACTACCTTCTGGGTCGGGTTTAAAAATACTGGGGTAAACCATTTACTAGTTCAAATTAATTCAATCATAATTTATTCTTGATGAGAATATTTAGTTTCGAATAATACTGGATTTAAAATGACTCGATTCCAACTGCGAACATAGCGGAGTTGAGTGAGTGAGGTTCGCGCCATAGTGGACAACACTCACCTTCCATCACAGGTTCTATACACGAGATATTCATCTCATTTATACATAGCCATATCCTACACATTCATCTATAACATCCATATCCACATCCTACACATTCATTTACATCCACATCCTGCACATTCATCTAGAACCCACATCCACAACCTACACATTCATCTATACATCTTTACCAGCCATCACACACATATATACACTACATTTACATCCGATCATCACATATCTCTTACAAGCATTCGTCACACATAGTTCATTCGGACTTCTCTGTTCTGTAACATTCTCCCTCCATCATTACTCCATCTGCACCTTCAAGAACATGGAATGTGAGGGATCGGATCACTTTCCTAGTTAGGCCTTCTCGTTACACACTCCATTTGAGTTTGTGTTCTTCATAAACATCTGCAAAGCCAGAGCAACAATCCATTACAATCTCTTCTGAATTTCAGTCACTTTTTTACATGTCAATCATGAGTTTTATATAATCCAAAAGTCAAAAACACTTATGCCGAAATAAAAGTAAATATACATTTCAGACTTGTATACGCCCATTATTTATTTTTTAAGGTAAAGAGAACAAGGAATCTTAATCTTTCTATGTAAAATTTAATATTCATTTTTATGATCTTTAACACATGTTTTTCTTAGGACGAAACAGAGCGTGATTAAAATGAATGTTAAACGCGACAAATTAAATCAAGACTAATATCTAACAAATAAACGACCGAGGAGAGATTGATTAACTAAAGCAAAAATAAAAACAGATCCTGAGTTTTAGAAATCATTTTATAAACTTCTTTGTTATAAAATGCAAATCATTGAAAACAACAACAATATGCAAGATTTTGAGAACATTGTAGTTTAAACAAAGAAAACGTAAGAATCAGAACAAAAACGTTACCTCGTAGGGTGATGTCTCTATGGTAAGTCGCTGGGGGAATGAGAATATCAGAGATAACCTTGTGTTGTGTAGAACGGAGCACAAGAAGCAGAGATAAACTTGAGCACAAGAACAGAACACAAGTAGTAGAAGAGATAAGCTTGAGTAGTAGAGCAAAGCACAAGAGTAAAACTTATTTGAAAAGAGAAATGCTAAAAAAAGCCTTTGAGAGGCCCATTAGAAATCGCTCTCTCCTCTCTCTTGCAACCCTAGCCGCTTTTTAATTTCTGAGGGAGAGGCGCACCTTTCCGGCAGTCTCGTCGGCGCGTGTGTGACCTTTCCCTCCCAATTTCAGTTTCTGTTCTTCAACGCCGGCTGATGGGTCAGAGGGTGAAGCGGTGGTGAGCGACTTTCTTCTCCGGTGGTGTGAGGTGTGGTTTGGTCCTTCATTCGATGCTTACGGTGGCTCTCCTTCACGGCAGCTGAGAAACGGTCCATGCGTTCTACTGGTTAAAGGACTCCGGTGGATTGGATCTGGTTTCTCACGGCTCGGCGGCTGATGAGTTATAGCTCCGGCGGCGGCGGAAGTTGAGTGATGGATCGGTGGGTTCGCCACTTTGCGAAGAGGTTAACAGTGGATCCTTGGCCGGATCCTTTGGCTAGTTTCGGATGATCCTTGGCCGGATCTTGGTGGTTGATGGCTTGTTTTGAGCCGGCGTCCTTCATCTGCTACCGTTTTTGGCTTCCTCTTTGCCGGATCTGAAGACTGGATCAGCTTCTGGAGTGGTTCAAGGGTGAACGTCGAGGGAGGTAAGGGTTAGTTTTGATGTCTCTCTTCTTACTAGGTCGGGGAGAAGAGGTCCTGGGTCTCGGTTGTGGCGGTTCTACCTTTCCCGAAAGGAAAGTTCTAGGTTCGGTTTGTTTTCGGCGACAGGTTGCGACGGGATTTGCTAGCTCCGGTCAATGTCTCGATGTCGAGGACTTGTCCGCAAAGGAACCGTTCTTGTTAGCATCGGAGATGGAAGGCGAGGATCGTGTTTTCCGGTGTACTGCCTTCTTCAGATCTTACTTCGCTGTGTTTTTCCGATTTGGGCCGTTCCTTTTTTGTAACCCGTTTATTTCTCTTGGCCCATCAGCCAAAGCCCAATTTTGGGATTTAATAATATATATATAAAAAAAAAAAAAAAAAAAAAAAAAAAAAAAAAAAAAAAAAAACTTATTTGAAGAAAAGAGTTTCAGAGTAAGTAAGAAGATTTTTGATGTCTGAACCAAGGAAGACGGAGGTATATATAGAGATTATTTCTAACGGTCAAATAAGTTACCGTTCCGGTGAGAAGTACAATATAATATAAAATTTACCGTTCGCTAATTACTTTTAGAATAAAAAATTCATAACGGTCAGATAAGTTACCGTTCGAGTGAATAAAAAGAAAAGGAAAATAGAAAAAAGTTACTGTTTGGTAAATTCAAATTTATTTCGTCACCGGTGACGACGTAAACATATGGTAGGTAGCCCTGTTCTAAAAATCTCCGCCTAGCCCCGATTACTCCCCGCTTAATCGCTAGACCCACTCTATCCGCCTCGATTAATGATTAATCCCTTAAAAAATCAGTAAGCCGATTATTCTCCGCCTAATCCGATTACTTCCCGTCTAATCCGATTATTTTCCACCTAATCTTATATACCCCGATTATTTTTTAGATTACAAGTATAAAAAAACTTTTTATTTTTGTTATTCAATCATTTGAATGGGGAGTTTGTAATGTTTTACAATAACTTGTATTCAAATTTTAATAAAAATCATAAATTTGTAATAAAAATCATAAATTTTTACAATATTGGATTAATATATTTTAAAAATATTAAAATAACCCTAAAACTAATCCCAGATTAATCCCCGATTTTAATCCAATTTTCCGATTAATCGTTAGGCCCATGCCGAGCGCCCGACTAGCGCCTAGCGATTTTTCAAACAAGGCTAAGTAGTAGGTCTAAAAATCATTTAAAATAATTAATTTCTTTCTTTGTCTGAATTAAGTTAATTCATTAATTTTTAGGAAATAATAAATTTTGGATTTGGGCTATATCGTTTATAGTGTTGGGCTTGCAAACCCAATTATCACGACTCTTCTACTTGTTCGTATTTGAGTGAAACCCATTTAGGGTTTTCGGAGTATCTTGAGTGCAACACACTATTTAGGGTTTACGAGAGAAGAGAAAGAAACAGAGAGAAGAAGAAAATGGCGGCGAATGGAGGAGCTGCGGCGGCTGGTAAGCTGTCAGAGAAAGAAGCTGATATCCAGATGATGTTATCAGCCGATGTTCACCTTGGTACCAAAAATTGCAATTATCAGATGGAGCGTTATGTCTTCAAAAGACGCAACGACGGTAAACTCTCATCTCCATCCAAATCTCATTGTATATATAGACGCAACGATTCCACTTTCATATACTCGTAGCTTTCGATTTGATAGTTTCCATAGTTTTGGGTATTCATCTGTAATTCTCTGTTTTAAGAGTTCTGTTATGTGTTTGAGTGTTCTGGCTCTCTTTTTTTCGGTTTTTTTATTGGTCAGGTATTTACATTATCAATCTTGGAAAGACATGGGACAAGCTTCAGATGGCTGCTAGGGTTATTGTAGCAATCGAAAACCCTAAAGACATAATTGTGCAATCAGCTAGGCCTTATGGGCAAAGAGCTGTCTTGAAGTTTGCTCAGTACACTGGTGCTAATGCAATTGCTGGAAGACACACTCCTGGTACTTTCACTAACCAAATGCAGACTTCTTTCAGTGAGCCCAGGTTGTTGATTCTCACCGACCCAAGAACCGACCATCAGGTATAAATGAACCTCAGCTCTTAACAACTGTGTAGGTTTTTGGTTTTGCTAATGCTGTTTTGGTTTGTGTTGCCAGCCAATTAAGGAAGGTGCGTTGGGAAACATTCCGACTATCGCCTTCTGTGACACCGATTCTCCAATGGGATTTGTCGACATTGGTATTCCTGCTAACAACAAGGGAAAACACAGCATTGGTTGCCTGTTTTGGCTTTTGGCTCGTATGGTTCTCCAAATGCGTGGAACCATTCTCCGAGCTCAGAAATGGGATGTCATGGTAAAGTCTAGAAACACTTATCTTCTTAAAACACTCTCTCATTATGTATTAATGTTTCTCCAACACCAAAAAAAAGATGTTGACTTGTTTGTGTTGTGTAGGTGGATCTGTTTTTCTACAGGGAGCCCGAAGAAGCAAAGCAAGACGATGATGAAGAATATGGGCTGCCTGCTCCAGAATATGGAATGGTTGGTGGTGACCAGTGGACCACTGCTCAAATCCCTGATGCTGCATGGCCTGGTGAACCCGAACAGCCGATTTCTGCTGCACCTGCAGTTGGCGGTTAGTTTCTTGTCATCATATTATTGTCTCTCGGAATCTAAACACCAAATGTTCTAATGTTTTTGCTGTTTTTTTGCAGCTGCTGCTGGATGGGACACTGCGGTTCCGCCACCGGCTTCTGTTCCAGCTGCTGGTTGGGAGTAAAAGTTCCCTTCATTTTAGTTTAGCTCGAATTCGGTTAAGATATAGACTTGATTTTTTGTTCTTTTTGAGATTTGGGGAGAGGATTAGGACCATTAGCATTAGGTGCATTTTTGCCGGTATTTCCAAGTTTCAACCGTATAAGGGTATTTCATCTTTAGTTATTTCATTGAATTGACCATGAGTTTCTATTAAAGTTAAAATTTTCATTATGCATACAGATTATATCAGATTATACATACAGATTATACAATCTCCTGTATGAAATCGCTCACGAGAACAATGAATCGAAATTTAAAGTATAGAGATGTTAATCAGCTTTACTAGCAAAACTAATCAGGCAATTAAAAGTTTCGATTTAACCCCATAATCTAAAACTTATGAAAATATGATAGTTAATCATTCACTTTTCTCGAAGAAATCAAATTACATATCATACTTTGATGGATTTACATGTGATTGGGTAATAGAGGATTGGTTGGCTAACATTATAACCAAAAAGTGGAATATAATCAAATTTTTAACTTTGTTAGCCGAAAGTGAAACGGTACCTAAGTATGCGTGTTATGGACTCGCCATTAAATATTAATCTTTGCTGTACCCATTTAACTGTGTTACAAAATTTCTAACCAAATAATTTGAAGAAAATATGTTTTTCATCATCATACTTTTGCATGGTTCACATGCTAACACCGACCATCCTTAACGAATAATGGAAATTAATGGACGAAGGAAAAAACTTTACAAGGGTTATTATTAATAAGTTTCTTTTGGAGTGTGAGATATAAACACTTTCGCTATAAAAAAAAACCTTGAGCAACACCTCTTTTTTTTTTTTTTTCCTCTTTAGTAGAACTTCAAGAAGGTTGAAAATTCGAGCTATGTTACGCATTGATGAAACCTCGATCAATTTTTTTTCTTAATGGCATTTGAAGACAGAATTCGTTTGGAACTATGTTATGTTATAGTAAAATTGTGAAGGTTTGGCACATTTTGTGACGTAACTATTACCAAACAAATCTTGATTTAAAAAAACGAAGCTATTAGCAAAAAAATTACAGAATAGGCCATGCAAACGATGACTATCCTCTATCTTGTTACATGTGACTTGAAGCTACTATTAAATAACAATGTTTGGTTCTTCGATGATGTTTGCATGTGACTTGTAACTTAAGAGATCCGTGTTAACATGGTGCATGAATGTAACCTTGGATGATAAACAATAAATCTTCTGTCTAATTTTTATCTTCTAATATATATAGAGAATGGTGTTTGTATGTGTCAGCATGCGTTGTCTTTAGGCGTGACAATTTTCAATTTGCATCTTCTTTTATATGTAATTTATAACGGGACCACAAGTTCATATATGTTCTCACTTTTTCAACTCCCCAAATGCTTTATTTGTTAAACATAGTACTAAATAACGGTTTTTACTAACTCGTTTCAAAATGTAAATATTTATTTGTTGTTTTCAATTCAAAACTCAAACTAAAGTTCTCTAAATAAAGTTAGAAATTCTACAATGTTATTGAGAGAAATAGTATATACTATTATTTTAAGGTATGTTGGGTATTTTATTTTCTTTTTTTACCATGGGTGAGCTGTGAGCAAGTGAAAAGACATCTATAATGAAAAGGAAAAAATGTATATAATACACTAAAAAAGTAGATGAAATTGGTTGTATTGGTTAACAACCTAACATATGTTAATGTGGAATCATGACCAATTAAGCTTTCTCTTTTTTCCTTAAATTCATTATTTTGTTCAAGATGAAAAATAATCTTATAGACACGTGTATCTTAATAATTGTGCCTTCATCTTCTGAGGAACCAAACACAGAAAGTGTTAATTAAAGAGCTTATAATTCACATAAGACTGACTAGTAAACACAACTACAAGATATGATCAGTCACAAATCATAGTCTTATGCTTCTTCATACTATATATTCATTCTTCTCTCTCACTACTCACACGAGAAACAAGAAGCTAACACAAAGCACACATATACACAAAATCCATGTGTATATGCAAGTAAATATATATAGTCGTATTCATGTATGTATGTATACCATGTACCAGTAGCAGTTAAGCTGCCAGCATGATCTTGTCTTCCTCTCTTAAGTTTCATATATAATCAAGTTAATATAAAGATTTTGTACAATTCTTGTTCTTATTATATGATCATAGCTTAGAGAGAGAGAGACTAGGTCATGCTGGTAGTTTCACCTGCTAATGATTGTAGCATGAAGAAAGAAGAAGAAGGGAGACATACAGTGTACTCCTTATAATCCTTCCGATTCAGAAAGAGGATCTCATGAAAACAGGAGAGATTAATTAAGCAGGTAACTTTTATGATTTCTGCGAAATTTCTTATTGGTCTTTCTAATTTGTTTCTTTCATTAATCAATGTGCAACTGGTGTTAATGTAACAATCATGAATTCAAATTGGAAATGTAAGCTAGGATAACCAAAGGTATTTGGTTAAGATAGAGAAGAGAAATAAGAAACTTATGAATGTGGTAAGATTTATCAGTGTGATCCAATCATTAAGTTTTAAACGAAATCATATAAAAAATCATACGATACTTGGACAGAGAGGGCTTGAATCATCAGAGAGGTTATAAAGGAATATTCTATTACCAAAGATATTTTTAATCTTCTATGTTTAGACTCAAATGGAGATTCTTTTTTTTTTTTTTTTTTTTTTTCTTCTAAAGCCCAAAATCGAATGTATCATCCAAACGTCGCCGTTTAGTCTCAACGTAAATGTAGTTTTGACCTTGTTGACTTTGGAAGACAAACGTCACTGAAGTACGAAAGTACAAAATTGGATTTTGGGACTCTATCCTGTAATATCTATCCTATCCTCACAAAAATTATTTAAGGATTGCATTGAGATTTCAACAAAACGAGTGGTGTTGCTCTGCTCTGCTCTGTTCTTCCCACTCCTCTCTACTCCAAAAGTCTTAAACTTTTCGCATTATCTTTTCTCTTTTGCGTTTCGATTCTTTGTCTGAATTTCACAATTCCACTCTCTGTTTTTGCCCACAACACTATCTCTTCCATGAAAAATCGAAACTTTATCTAGAAAATGACTCCATTCTCCTCTGAACTCGTTGGTTTCACTATCCCTTTCTACTCCAAAACTCAGAAACACTATTCAAATTCTTCTCACGGACTATCTCACAATCGAAGCCTCTTAACCTTCTCAAACTCTAACCCTAACCACGACAATGGAAAATCCTTTTCATCTTCAGGAGCAAGAAACCTTCAAGCCACCACAACAGACGCAGCAATTCCCACGGAACGAAGACAACAACACTCACAATCTCTCGGATTTAGAGATACCCAGATGCTTAAAATCTTCCATCGATCATGCCGTTCAGGGAATTACATCGAATCTCTACACTTACTCGAGACCATGGTACGTAAAGGATACAATCCTGATGTGATTCTCTGCACTAAGCTCATTAAAGGGTTCTTCACTCTAAGAAACGTCCCAAAAGCTGTTAGGGTTATGGAGATTCTCGAGAAATTCGGACAGCCTGATGTTTTTGCTTACAACGCTTTGATTAATGGGTTTTGTAAGATGAATCGGATCGATGATGCTACGAGAGTTCTTGATAGGATGAGAAGTAAAGATTTTTCACCAGATACTGTTACTTACAACATAATGATTGGTAGTTTGTGTAGCAGAGGTAAACTTGATCTTGCTTTGAAGGTTTTAGATCAATTGTTAAGTGATAACTGCCAACCGACTGTGATTACTTACACGATTTTGATCGAAGCTACGATGCTTGAAGGCGGAGTTGATGAAGCATTGAAGCTTTTGGATGAGATGTTGTCTAGAGGGTTGAAACCTGATATGTTTACTTATAACACAATCATTAGAGGAATGTGTAAAGAAGGGATGGTAGATCGCGCGTTTGAGATGATTCGGAATTTGGAATTGAAAGGTTGTGAGCCTGATGTGATCTCTTATAACATCTTGCTTCGTGCTCTTTTGAATCAAGGGAAATGGGAAGAAGGAGAGAAGCTAATGACTAAGATGTTTTCAGAGAAGTGTGATCCTAATGTTGTGACTTATAGCATTTTGATAACTACTCTATGCCGCGATGGAAAGATTGAAGAAGCGATGAATCTGCTTAAGCTTATGAAGGAAAAAGGGTTAACTCCTGATGCTTATAGCTATGATCCTTTGATAGCTGCGTTTTGTAGAGAAGGTAGGTTAGATGTAGCTATTGAGTTCTTGGAAACCATGATCTCTGACGGATGTTTACCGGACATAGTTAACTACAACACGGTTTTAGCTACGTTGTGCAAGAACGGGAAAGCGGATCAAGCGTTGGAGATTTTCGGGAAACTAGGAGAAGTGGGCTGCTCACCGAACTCGAGTTCTTACAATACGATGTTCAGTGCCTTATGGAGCAGCGGGGATAAAATCAGGGCGTTACATATGATATTAGAGATGGTGAGTAACGGGATAGATCCCGATGAGATCACATATAACTCGATGATATCGTGTCTATGCAGAGAAGGAATGGTGGATAAAGCTTTTGAGTTATTGGTTGATATGAGGAGCTGTGAGTTTCATCCATCGGTTGTTACATACAACATTGTTCTTTTGGGATTCTGCAAAGCTCATAGGATCGAGGACGCAATCGATGTTTTGGATTCAATGGTGGGAAATGGATGTAGGCCTAACGAAACTACTTATACTGTGCTCATTGAAGGCATTGGTTTTGCTGGATACAGAGCAGAAGCAATGGAGTTAGCAAATGATTTGGTTCGAATCAATGCCATTTCTGAGTACTCGTTCAAGAGATTGCATAGGACTTTCCCTTTACTCAATGTTTTACAGAGATCTTCTCAGACATTTGGTCATTAAGTGTAAGTCGAGAACAACACATTATGTTTGGCGCATTTGCGATAGCTCAAAGCCCTAACACATCGTTCAATAAACCAATTATCACAACACTGCCCAGTCTGAGCTCTTTATCTATGAACTTCCCCTTATCACATGTTATGCTATTTTAATGCTCAAAGTTCCAGAAAGTAAAGTCGCTCTTCTAATGCGACTTCATGAATTTTGAACTGTTTTTTAACGAAGGAAATCAAAAATGGGACTCACATGAGCATATGCTAGGTGGTACAACGGAAGAGTAGGCAGCGTTAGTATGTGCTACGAGTACCTGTCACAGGTAATAAAATTAGTTCT